GGATTAATGTTATATATTTCTACTGAATTCTTCTACTAATATTTTTACTTACAAAAAATGAATAATCACAAAAAGATATTTTATTTATTACAAGTGACATATATCATTTTTTTATTTATAAATAAGAGAATCTATTATCATAATATATCATTTTTCATATTGTCCTATTTTTCAAATGGATCATGTTCCACTGTCCCATTCAATAAAAATACACTAAATTATATAAAATATTATTTATTTTTTATAATTTTTTATTTTAATTAAATAAGATAATGTGATTTTTTCGGGACACCATTTGAGATAGCAAATCTCGGTTTAAAAGTTTATCCCAATTTTATATATTGTTATTGTATTATATAATATGCATATTTAATGATCAATAACTCTTTAAAAAAGTAACTTAAATAAATAATAATAATGTATAAATCTTTTTACTAACAATATATAAATATTACCCTCTTCTAAAATTAGGTTAGTGTATACTATTTATGTGGCATGATGCATGTGCTTTCAACAACTAGCACTACACTTGTCCTTAGCATGAGAAACTATCCTATAATAGAATAATAATTGATTATTTTAATAAAGACCTTTCCCATAAGACAAGCCAAGTATGACTCTCAACATTAAGAAATTCATCTTGATTATTGAACCTCTTATAATTATGAGTTTATATTTATATATTGCTGAATTTTTTATATAAATATATCTTGTATCATTTATATGATAGCTCCTTAAATAAAATTAATATATTGTGGATCATATAAAAAAATAGTGTAAAAGATATATGAATCATTCATGATGTAATATCATACTGATTTATATAAAAAGTTCATCCATCATTCATAACCATTGGTGAATTAATCCAATGAATCATTTTAGTTTATATATGGGCTTATATATCCATCCACAAAAAGTGCCTGAAGCTTATGAGTATCATCTAACTAATAAAAATGTGATCCATCTGATTAGCAAGAAATGATATTGCTTCCAGTTCCATACAGAAGACAACACATTAGGTTTTCTAAACATTAAAAGTAAAGACATGACTTTGAATTAATCGATCGGAAAATATGCAACCTTATAATGAGCAAATTTCAAATATTCTTTCATTGGTTGTAATGTTTAATGGTATTTATGGATAAGAGTATCGATTGTTCTTATAAATTATTTATTCTTTTTTAATGAACTTCATTTGCAACAACAAAAAATCACAACTTACAATGTTTTTACATTTTGACATCTTTTATATTTAATCTTTTGTGATTAGCAAGTGCTCCTGTCAGAGGATCCAGGATCATTTTTGCACCCTTTGTTCATATTAAAGGATTAATTTGACATGAAAAACTTTAACAACATGATATTATAAAAATATAATAAAAACAAAAACGGTAAAGTACAAAAACACAAAATATTAGAGAAAAAGTCTTTAATTTCATGCATATATGACATTCATTTGTAATGATGAAAAACAAATATGCATAAAGAATATCTTAAGCTTCTTCAAATTTGTCGCAGAAATTAAAGAATACCTTCTTCTTCAGACAATATAGAAGAATAACTGCAAAACCCTCACCAAGGAATAGTTGTAGCCCTTATCTTTGACTACCAATAAAGAATTTGATATATACATGTGTATGTATATATGCATTGCCTAGCATACAAGTAAAGCTATTCTTTATTAGAGAAACAAAGTGTTACAACCGATCAAAATTTGGAATAACTAAAATCTAAAGAAACACACATGCATGTATATTGTAATGTGTATATAAGTAACATAATAACCTGAGATTTCATTGTCAAAGATACAAAGTAATTAGAACACAGAAGCGAAAGAGAAATTATTAAAATGTCGTTGGAACAAAAGGTGCAACCAGCAGAACGCGTGTATGAAGAGTTTGAACCACCCTATGATTGGGCTCATGATGAATCAAGTGACACTCTCATTCTTATGCTTCCAGGTTCATTTCATTTTTTTATGTCATTTTCTTCTGATAAATTTATTTTATAGATAGATATAAGTAATTTTATTTGATAGATGGATATAATATAAGTAATGTGATCAATTGTAGAAAACATCCACCATATATAAACATTATTATAAATTGTGGGTAAGACGGAGATTATTGTCTTGATTGCGGTTAATGTAGTTAAAGTCATTGTAATTATTATAACTTGAATTGTGGTTGATGTAATATGGTCGATGTAACTCAAATGGGATTCGATATAATTATGTTGCGGCCGTATCAGTGTCGCACCACAAATATAGTTAAATATTGATATCTAGTTTACACGCTTGAGTACAGGATTTAGAAAGGAGCACTTGAGGGTTCAAATAGCTTCAAACCGTGTTCTAAGGTTGAGTGGAGAAAGACAAATAAATGAGAAGAGATGGCGAAAATTCCAGAAACAATTCTCAGTTCCTACTGAATCAGACACCAATGGGGTTAGTGCCAAGTTTGAAAGTGGGATGTTATATGTCAAGCTTCCCAAACTCATCAAACCTACTCCTCAACCACCAACACCAACAACAATAACACCAACACCACAAAAAGTTCCAAAGCCTCCTCAACAACCAACACCAACACCAACAACATCAGTACAACAAAAAGTTCCAAAGCCTCCTCAACAACCAACACCACCTCAGGCACAACCTAATAATATTCAACCTCATCGTGCTAATGAGCAGAAGCCAATGGACAAAGCTTCAGAAGCTAACATTATTGAAAAGACTAATAAGCCACCAACACCAACTCCAACTGCACCAGTACACCAGGTATATTAATTACTATATATGCTTATAGTGTAGGTCATTTAATAACATGTGTTTCTCTATTAATCTAACATGTGTGATGTGTTTCTCTACTACGTACGCTAACATGTGTTTCCATCACTAGGAACCAAAGGCAGATGAAGATTCTCAAAATAAGCCAAATCTAGTGCAGAAAGCTGCAGAAGTCAAACCTGAAAAGACAGAGACACCAAAAGCAGCACCAACTCCAATAGTGGCACCACTTGAGGAACCAAAAAAGGAAGTTAATGATTCGCAAAAGAAGCTGTCCCAAAAGGAGAAGGGAAAATCAAAAGCTACAACCTCTAAAGGTGAGGGAGTGCATGAACCAAAAATGGGGAAAAGGTCACAAACTTTGGAAATGCTTTCACGCCAAACTCAAGAGTATAAGAATGCAGTTTCTGATTTGGTGGAAGAGCTTAAGAAGCAAAAGAAATTAGCCAACTTGGTTGTGGTTATATTTCTTGTTTTGGTGATTGGTCTCTGCATTAAGAATGCAATGAAATCATCTCTTCGAGGACCCAAAATCGAAGAGTTGTAATTGCTTTAATTTTCCTCGTGTTATTATGTCAATATATATATGCATGGCATGCACGTAACTTTTATTTTATGAGTTAATAATTGTATAAATTCAATAATGTGATTTCCTCATGGAATTTGGTAATAACATTTTAAATGAAATGGATTTCTCATTCCCTTTGTTTATTACATGGAAACGATGGAATTAATGTGGAACCAAATGTCAAATGAATAATAAATAAACTTGTTTTAGAGGCAATTTTATTTTGGTGGGTCTTATTAAAAGATTGAAATTACAAGTATACTCAAAACTTATAAATTGACTAAATATTAAGCATAAAAAATAGTGTTCAACAACATGAAAACAACATTATAAAAAGTGCCCAACAACATTAAAAGTTAACATTAGCAAAAAAAAAAAATATCAATAATCACATTAATTGTAAAACAAATGTACCATTACATTTTTTGGGTGTCATCAAGAATCTGGGTTGGAAATTGGACTTTTCCTTATCGGGGAGAATCTTAACTCAATTTGTTTTAACTATTTGCTTCTTAATTCAATTCAATGATTCACTAATTAATAGGAAAGGAAACTAGATCCTCTCTAATACTAATACTAGTAAAGTGTTCACTATTAGAGGTCATTATGATATGTGACCTTAAAAAAAGTTTAAAAGTACAAATTTTAAATTATTTTTAAATAAAAAAGTTATAAATCATAAAATCAATCAAGATCTTACAACTTGAGAGAATCCGAGTCCAATTAATAGTCATTTGTCATTAGTTATTACAACTAAATATATATATATATATATCATTTATTTGAATGTAAATTCTCACTAATATCGAAGAGTCCAATACTAAATGGAGATCATGTACATGTGTCCAATGATAGATTTTATATTATCTTTAAATAAAATAATTGATCCTATATCCTCATTTATTTATATCTATTAATTCTTATAATTTGCATTTGGAAGAAATGTAATTATATATATTGGAATAATTTATTTTATATAACTAATCCTAATTAATAAGTATTCGAAATAAAATATTATCATCTTTTTTTCCTTTGGCCATTAATCATTAACTTATGTCCTCAGCTGCCTTTTCTGTTTAAAAAAACATACTTAGCTTGATCAATTAAATTCCCAACAATCAATGCAACTTTTCACAATTAGATATTTGTGAAAACATGATATATCAAAGTTATAAGAATGAAATATTTTCAACCATGAACCTTTGTATTTTTTTGCTTCACTTTCTACTAACATCTTTATCTTGTAACTCTCAATCATATCTAATAATATTACTTTATCCGATAATAATAAAAAACAGTTACAAGAACGAAAATTTATATCCTAATAAGAAGAAGCTATATATTATTTCTTGTGTTGCACTGAAAGGAAATGCTCTTTGTCGGTAAAAAGATTTGAGCAGTTCAAAATCTAACTATTAGGGTTTAAGCATTACCAATGGTAGAGGTCACCTCCTACGTGTTAAAAAATTAAGCATATTATTGTCCTTGCATAAAACAAATATCCTCTGTCCCAAAACAATCATGTCTTTATATCCCATCCAATAAGATTACATTAAATAATATAAAATATTACTTAATAATTTTATAACTTTATTCTCCAACATCTAAATCATGTATTTTTATTGGTCCGGGACTCCATCGGGAACATCAATCTGGAAAGCTCATATCCATTCCCTTGTTGCATCAAATAGATTAAAGTTTGAAACACAAATATATGTTTGCACGAAAAGAAAGTAATAAAGTAAATGAAATACAGTAAAGCAAAAAATGTACACTAATACCCTATCCATGACTATAAAACAAACATAAGATCTTTCATTCTCTCTAAGATAACAAGAGACAAAGATATATAGAACACAAAAATCAAAACAGCAACCAATTAAGCCAAAAAATGGATCAAAAGTCACAACTAGAAGCTGATCGTATCTATGAAGATTTTACACCATATTATGAATGGGCAAGAGATGAAGGAAGTATCACTGTCCTCCTACCAGGTAACTCACTTTTCAACTCTTTCTAGATCATATAACATATAATATATATACAAATACTTGGGTTTTCTTTGGTTTTAATATTATTTTTATAAATTATTGCCTCTAATTATAATAGAATAAAAGAATAGCAGGATTTAGTAACGTGGATATAAGTTTTGACAGAAGTAAATTCACTTTATAAAAGCTTTTTTTATCTTTGAACACCATAGACCTTTATAATATTGCAATCAACAGTTTTTTTTAGTATTATGAAGGATATAAAAAACAGCATAAAAGAAGATAAATTTTCCTGTGATACATGCAGGATATAGAATTGACCAACTGAAAGTTCAAGTGACCTCAAAGCCTGCCCTAAAGCTTATGGGTGAGAGACAGATAATTGAGAACAGATGGAGTCGTTTGAATATAGAATTTCCTCTTCCTTCTGATTATGACACAGACAATGTAACTGCCAAGTTTGAGGGTGCTAAGTTATATATCAAGTTTTCCAAACTAAATATTAAGCCAATTGAAACAACAAATCTGCTTCCTCACGAAGCTCCAAAGCCTAAGGGGCCATCACAAGAGGTTGATCAGAAAAATGCTAACAATGAAGTCTCTGATCAGAAGACACCACAGAAAGAGAAGGAGACAAGCTATGAAAAGGAAAAAAGCAAGACAGAAACAGAAGCTGCTAGCATATACAAAATGGCTCAGAAGAAGGTTAGTACTAATAATAATGGCTTAACTGAGACAACAGAAGCTGCAACCAAAGTTGCTAAGCCTGTCTCAAGATCCAAAACTAGGCTTTTAGATTTCAAAACAGAAGCTGGCAGCATAGACAAAATGGCCCAGAAGAAGCTTAGTACTAATAATATTAATGGCTTAACTGAGACAACAGAAGCTGCAACCAAAGTTGCTAAGCCTGTCTCAAGATCCAAAACTAGGCTTTTAGATTTCACTCTCAGTTTAGGACCATCTAATCAGGCTGATATTGATAATGAAGACCTTGGAGATTTGGATTCAAGGATAAACAAGAGGAAGAAATTGGTCTTGCTTATATTATTGGTTGTGGGGCTAGGGCTGTATGCTAGAAATGCATTCAGACAGTCTAGTATAGGATCAAAATTCCAAGAGCTGTAATTTTATTCCTTTAGTACTTGTATGTTTAAAATTCACACAAAGTTCATATCCATGTAAATGCAATAATACAATTATGAAAGAATAAAAGTATTAATAAAATAAAGACTTCTGACAACTATATTTAAGATCAATTTTACTTTACCAATATTCTATATTTTCTCGGCTGATTGTCAATTGGTTTCGAAATGAAACGTTAACATATATCACTTTATCAGTTTGTGGGTCTTTGCATAAAATCAATCAGCAAGAGGAACATGATGATGTTTTTAAGTTGTCCGCATAGGTCAAACATGATTCTCAATGAATTTCATTTTGTAAATTTGTTTTCAATGATAATTAAGTTTAAGGTGGTGTGATTTACGTTTAGATGTGTTACTCTAAAAAATTTGTAAGAATTTGTTAGTTTAAAAGTTTCAATTAAACTCAAAAACTACTCTTTCTAGGACAAACCACTTTTACATCAACTAATATTTTACTTCGTCACTATGATTTCCACACAAAAAATCAATAACAGAATAACTAATAATTTATTTCATCACTATAATTTAAAAAAAATTAGAGTTTGGTTATCATAAGTTCATATGTGGAAGTGTTGAGATTTGGACAATAGGTTCTTGATTCTTGGTAAATGTGAGATGATGAATGAAGAGGTATGATGAGTCATGATCACTTATTCTAAAATAATAATGTCTTTATGTTTCAAATTAATCAATTTTCTTCAAGTAATATAAAAATATTGTTTTGTATTTTTATAATTTTCTTTATAATGGAATGTCTCTTTTTCATTAAATCGAGACAGAATTTTGGGACGGAAATGAAGACACGTAATCCATATTCTTACTTGCAAATAAGAAGAGTATGACCTGACTTTTTCATAGGAAAAGTGGGACTAATGTAAGCATGTGTACACACATGATAGAGGGAAATTATGATTAGTTCAAAAGAGGATACCATGAACAAAAGACTGAGTTGGCATAACGGTATATAGCTTAGTTGTTAAGAACACATACAGACCCGCATTCTTATTTTATTATATTAAGTATTCAATTTTTATATTTTTATTTTATACAATTAGAATGTTTTTTTATTAAGAATACTTTATGTTAAAATTGTATTTATTATAATTTATTTAAGGTGAGATAAGTGGTTAATGTGTGAATGGTAGTTACTTAGGATTATATGGTTTTTTTGTAAAAATAAAAAATGTAATGGCAAAATAGGAAACAAAAATTACATCATCATAAGTGATTACTTTGTGTTTTCCCTTTATATGAGTATAGATAATTACTTCTGGTCCAGAAGCCAAGGTGGAAGCAATGGGGTTATAATTCATTGGATTAAAACAATTGTGCACAGACTAGCAGCACTAAGGAAATTAATTCTTCAACTAATTTAATATTAACTATTCTTTATTTCTAATAGCAGGTAGCTTACTTTTTTGGATATGATAAATGTTCTAAATAGCCGTTGTGATTTAGTAAACTTCTTAAATTTTGATGGTGTGATTATTACAATTATCGAGTATAAATCATCTTTATTAATGGAGAAATAAATATTAAAAAAATTAAAAAATATAATATATAATGACACATTTATCATTTTAAATATAATAAAATAACATATTTGATATTAAAAAACATAAAGAAATTGAAGTATTTATTTATCTATCAATTGAGATAATCTTTATTTACAATTGCCACAGTCCGAATGAGTTCCATAAACTTTAAAAACCTTAATTAACATGGAAGAGATATTCATTCACTCTACTCCACGTGTTAGCCATTAATTATAGGGAAATTAAATTGTTCGAATTAGTTTGTAGATCTAAACCATTGGATTTCCCTAGAATTGATAACACTCACGACACATACATTTTGTTTAAAATATTACACTTATATCTCTTGGAGGGTTAATCGATGTAATTAACTCTATAAAATATAATAAATGAGTAACATTGTTATACTAAAAGATAATTTATCTCCTTAAATTCACTCAACACATAATATATATATATATATATTAATTAGGAAAAAAACTTATAAAGACAAATCCAACACGTCTCTGACACTCCATCTGGGTCACCTTGGGTGGCACTCTGACACTCCTTCACTTTTACTTTTCCATTCATTCATTTTCTCTCTTCACCCAAACCATGGACCACCGGCGTCCTGATGACGGTGCTTCCTCTCTCCGTCTCCGCCGTCACAATAACAGAGCCTCCACCACCTCTCCTAAAGCCTCCGACGCCCTCCCTCTCCCTCTCTATCTCACCAACGCCATCTTCTTCACCCTCTTCTTCTCCGTTGCCTACTACCTCCTCCACCGCTGGCGTGACAAGATTCGCTCCTCTACCCCTCTTCACGTTCTCACCTTCTATGAACTCGCTTCCATTCTCTCTCTCATCGCTTCCTTCATCTACCTCCTCTGTTTCTTCGGCATTCACTTCGTCCAATCATTCATCTCTCGTCCCTCCAACGACGTCGTTTGGGAAGATGACGTCACCGATATCCTTCTTCCTCAAATCCCCATATTACCCCCACTCCATCTTGCTCATCATCATGATGATGAGATTGTTAAGTCTGTCGTTGAAGGCGAAACGCCGTCGTATTCACTTGAATCGACCCTCGGTGATTGTCGCCGCGCTGTGGCAATTCGTCGCGAGGCGCTTCAGAGAGTGACGGGGAGGTCGTTGCAGGGTTTGCCTTTGGAAGGTTTTGATTATGAATCGATTTTGGGACAGTGTTGTGAAATGCCGGTGGGTTATGTTCAGATTCCGGTGGGGGTAGCGGGGCCGTTGTTGCTGGATGGGTTTGAGTACACGGTGCCGATGGCCACGACGGAAGGGTGCTTGGTGGCGAGTACTAATAGAGGTTGTAAAGCGATCTATGCTTCAGGAGGAGCAAGCAGTGTGGTTTTGAAAGATGGAATGTCTAGGGCTCCTGTTGTTAGATTTTCAACTGCTAAAAGAGCTGCACAGTTGAAATTCTTCTTGGAAGATCCTCTTAATTTTGATACATTGGCCCTTGTTTTCAACAGGTTTACCCTTTTCATCAATCATCTCTCTAATTGGTTTATTCTTTTTTTGTTTCTTTCATGTTATTCAGTTTTAATGTTTCATGTTGATGGATTTTGTTTTCTGAGATCTCTTGATGTAGTTTTTTGTTCTAAACCGGTTTTGTTTCTGGAAATTTTAAAACTAAAAGTAGAAAAAATATGGTCAATGACTTCAAAATGGTTGAAGATAATTAAAATTTCAGTTTTTCCTTTGAAATTGTTAAAGGAAGGTGAATGAAAAAAGAAATGCGGGACTTGAACTTGGGTATGGTTTATGGGAGATTTTTTCTTTTGATGTTGAGATTTGACATTTGTTTCTGTTGGTTTTCAGGTCGAGTAGGTTTGCCAGGCTTCAACATATTCAGTGTACTATGGCTGGGAAGAACTTGTATTTGAGGTTCACTTGCAGCACAGGTGATGCCATGGGGATGAACATGGTTTCCAAAGGGGTGCAGAATGTTCTTGATTTTCTTCAGAGTGATTTCCCTGACATGGATATAATTGGCATCTCTGGTAATTTCCATGCCCTTTCCCATTTGAATGGATGGGATTTGCTGGATTGTTCTCTGGTAAAGATGCTTGATGTCACAGATACCGTTTAATACGGATTAGCTAATCTGCTTTATGCTATCATTTGTCATCACTCTAATCTCTATGCAGTTATAGGCCGGTTTCTTCTGTGAAAGTGGTCCAATCGCATTGTCTTATTTCTGAAGTCGTAAGCATCAATCGTTAGTCCCCGACTTTAGGGAATCACCACTTTAGTCACTAAAATTGTTAATACCAGTCATTTTAGATGCTTATAATTTGAAGGACAAAAATAGTAATTCCTAAAGTTATGGACTAACATGATTGTTGCTTACAATTTTAGTGGTTTACTCAAAAGGTGGAACTGTGACACCACTCAGGCTATTCACCAACTTTTATTTATCTTAGTTCTATTGGATTCCTCGTGTTCTAGTATTTCATTCAATGTGTCTAGATCTGTTTGCCAGTAAGTTTTCTAGCTCATTTGCATCTATTGAATGTGTCATTGTATTAACGTCTTTGTTTGGCTATTTCAAGCCTAGAATCAGGCATGCTGAAATCATTTTAATGGGCAGCTAACATGTGATGGTTATGTCGATTCTTTAGGAAATTTTTGTTCGGACAAGAAACCAGCTGCAGTAAATTGGATTGAGGGACGAGGGAAATCAGTTGTTTGTGAAGCCATTATCAAAGAAGAAGTGGTGAAGAAGGTATTGAAGACCAATGTGGCTGCCCTTGTGGAGCTTAACATGCTTAAGAACCTTGCTGGTTCTGCAGTTGCTGGTGCTTTTGGTGGATATAATGCCCATGCTAGTAACATTGTTTCTGCTATATTCATAGCCACCGGTCAAGATCCAGCTCAAAATATTGAGAGTTCACATTGCATAACCATGATGGAAGCTGTCAATGATGGGAGAGACCTTCATATCTCAGTGACTATGCCTTCCATTGAGGTGATTTAGCATTCCATCTATTCACATATTTCTTCTTCTTTTAAGCTGGTTAGTTTTTCAATTTAATAACAAGGTTTTATGTGATTTGTTGTCCTCTCTCAGGTGGGTACAGTTGGTGGTGGCACTCAACTTGCATCTCAGTCCGCATGCTTGAATTTGCTTGGCGTGAAGGGCGCTAACAAGGAGTCACCAGGGTCAAACTCAAGACTCTTGGCCACCATTGTTGCTGGATCTGTTTTAGCAGGAGAGCTGTCTCTGATGTCTGCTATTGCAGCAGGGCAGCTAGTGCAGAGTCACATGAAATACAACAGATCAAGCCAAAATGTATGTCAAATGTAACCTTGAGGTCAAGGACATGGTTGAAGCATTGTTTGTGTGGTGTCTGAAATAAAAAGACAAGGGTCTATGAATGCAAAAACTGGAATTTGGATAGGAAATGGAAGACATTAGTTGTTAGCATTTTCATTTGGGTCTGTATGGCTGTTTGATAATGTTTTATTAATTAATTGGAAGGAGACAACAGTAGAGTTGTACCTGTTTGATAGCACATCCTGCTTAGCCATTGGATGGGTGT